GGGCTCAGTAGAGGAAAAAGGGGAGAAGAGGCAGACCAAGAAAGACCTGGTTACAGAACCTGACTGACTGGACACGTCTCAGGCAGGCAACCATGAAGTCCATTGCAACTGACCACCAAAGGTGGAGAGAGCTGATCAGACAGCCAACAGAAACTGGTGACCCAACGACAAGTAGTGTTACAGGATGATGATGATGATAAGGCAGACGTCAAATTCAGAGCAGCAAATTAATCATTATAGTTTGGTGATGCAGCAGGAAGTGATGAGGAGATCTGGCCGTTACTTGAGACTCAGAGGAAAGGCCAGATGGACAAATAATCAGACCTCTACTGGCACCATTGGGATTGGAACTCTGATGTGGCTGCTGAAGATGTGGGTCGGAGCGCTTATTGAAATGCTCCAAGTGCTGTTATGTCAGTTCTTGAATCACCTAAACTCATAGTTTAATTGTTTTGTCACTGAGTGATTGTATTACCCCCAGGCTTGGTATACATTGGTGCTAAGTCTATATTTTTTATACCAGTCAGCATTGCCTTTACTTCCATGGACATTTCCTGGTATCTATTTTAGGCTGTCAACAGATCCAGTCTAATGTCTATTAAGAGACAAAACGGTGAGATGGATAGGAAGAAGTAATAACAGCTGCATAAAGCCAGAGAAAGAGGAAGGCAAAGAGATACACATCTGGATGGCTTGGCCAGATGGATGGGGGTTGAGACAAGAACATTGTCCTGATCCGTGGTGAAACATGACAGCCTACGCTTATCAACACAACACATTATGATGATGATGATGATAATAAAGCAGTGAACAAGATGAATGCAAACATGATTCATTACGAAACACCCATCCACTCGGAACACAGTATGTGACAAGGACACTATAAGTTGCAAATCACTTTTGACAAAAATTGTATAATCACTTTTAATCATTATGTTTTTTTATGACAAAAACAACATTCTTAAAATTGACTAAATCAGTGATCAGCATAGCTGGGTGTTTATTCCAGTGTCAGCCGTGTGTACAGCACCGAGTCTGAAGATACTTCTGAAAGCCAGATCATTTCCCTTACAAATCTGGCAATATGTGGGCAGTCATGTGTGAGCTACTGATGTTTGCTTCAGTCAGTCAGTCAGCAGCCTGACCTTTGCAGAACCTTGCTCCCATAAGAGCCGTCTGGAAAATTTATCGATCACAAGCAAGATGTCCCATGTCTGATAGACCCATTTGGAGATCATCCGCCACATCCTGCACCCATCTTCTCTTTGGCCTTCCTCTTCCTCTCTTCCCAGGCATATACCCCTTCCTTATTGTTTTCTCTAAACATTCGTGACATTTCAAGATACCAAAAATTTCAATTTTTTTAATGTTTTATTGTCTTTAATAGCCAACCTTCTTCAATATTAATTTCTTGAATTATGGATGCATTTGTTTTTTTCTTTACCCATGATATTCTTAGAACCTGTCTAAAACATTTGTATTCAAAGGCATTTATGTGCTTTTCAGCATGTTTAGTAATTGTCCAAGTCTCACAGGCGTATGTTTGTATGGTATTTGTTTCAGTGCTTTAAAAGCATAGGTGACTGACTTGGGAGTCCCATTCTGTGAAAATGTTCCCCAAAACCCATCTTCTGGTGATGTGTTCTAGGTCAATTCTGTGAAATTGTGCTCTAAGACCCATCTTCTGATGTGTTCTAGACCCACTCCATGAAAGTGTGCTCTAAGACCCATCTTCTGATGATGTGTTCTAGACCCACTCTGTGAAAATGTGCTCTAAGACCCAATCTATTAAGATGTTTTCTGAGACTCATTATATAAGACCTGTTTAGGGGTAAAATCTTCAAAAATTCCAGGAAGGTAATGTCAGAGATCCACTCTGTGAAGATAATTTCAGAGGCCCACTCCGTGAAGGTAATATCAGAGACCCACTCCATGAAGGTAAAGTCAGAGACCCACTCCGTGAAGGTAATGTCAGAGACCCACTCTGTGAAGGTAAAGTCAGAGACCCACTCTGTGAAGGTAATGTCAGAGACCCACTCTGTGAAGGTAAAATCAGAGGCCCACTCTGTGAAGGTAGAGTCAGAGATCCACTCCATGAAGGTAATATCAGAGACCCACTCCGTGAAGGTAATGTCAGAGGCCCACTCGGTGAAGGTAATGTCAGAGATCCACTCCGTAATGGTTATGTTAGAGACCAACTCTGTGAAGGTAACTGTCAGAGACTTAATCTGTGAAGATATTTTCAGAAACCTGTTCTGTGAAGATGTGCTCCCAAGACCCATTTGGTTAGAGCCCACCGGAAATGGTCTGGGTTTTTTCTGTAGAGTGTGATTATGCTCTTGGGTGCTGATCTGTACATATTGTCCTGTGATTTTTACTGAGGAATGCAATATACAGTGCAGACAGCTTGACTCTTCAATCCCAGGGAGTGTGGCAACAGAGGGCCATGGGGTAGTAAAGAGAGACGTTAAATCAGCACATCATGTGTTTATTGGACTTCTAGGAAGGAATCTATGACAGTGTGAGAGACTGAAAGAGATAAGACAATCTTGGATGTTATGAACTTCTGTTGTGAAGAATAATTCATCTATCCCCAACAACCACCATTTGCTTCAACTCTTATCTGGATAAGAGACATTTCTGAAAAGAAGAACTATTTCTTGGGGAGTTCTCCTTATCAAGTCTGCAATGTATTGCCTTTTTAAAAATTTTTTATTCACAGAATGACTACATTCACACTGAACAAGCATACCCAGAATGTTTTGATGGCAGTGCTCCAGCCTAATGAGATGCCTAAAATAACTCAGTTTTTCAAATCAAGACAGTATGTCTGACAGCTGGACAACCTAAGGAAAACTGGAGGAGGACAGTAGAAAGAGACATGAAGGCATATTAAATAACAATAACATTTGCCAGAACCCAGGGATGACTGTGAATCTGAAACCATGAGGAGACTGCAAGAACAGCATGTTCAAAGGGGTGTGGCCAAACAAGAGCATTATGCAGGAAGCCAAAAAAAGAATAAGAAACCAACACAGAACTGGTGTCATCACGCTGCAGGCTTAACTGAGGATGGAATCTGAGTAATTATGGGATGGTTTGATTTGCAGTAAAGATAATCTGTTGACTAACTAACTAACCTGGGATACCATGGGCAGAAAAGCAGCAGGCTGGCGATAATAATAAGATATCAATAAGGCTTGTTCACTTTGAACGTCAACACCTTTCGCCTCGGTGACCTAAGGACAAAAATGCTAAAGACCCGTATTTTTTCTTCTCGCTAGAGAATTCCTTTAAAAATAAACAATTTTACACAGGTCACACGAAATTCATATAAATAATAGTTATGGGCCGAACCAAAATTTAATTAAAATACAAGTAAACAGAAGTGATCCATAAATATGAATGCTAAAGACAACTGACTGGGTTACATCTGTTTGAACTTCACAAAATTGTTGACTTGTTGATTCTGACTGGAAAATTCTGTCCTCATTTCTATGTATAAAGCCATCTTCTTAACAAACAAAAAAACAAAAAAAGAGAAACCCCCTACTTGAATGCTATTTTTTAAAGCAACTATGCTCTTTCCCAGTTATTCAAAAAAGTTGGCCAGGAATAAACAATGCAGTAAGCAGGATCCTCATAAACAAGCCTCTACAACAAGCCAGGAAAAGGACATTTACGGGGGCCGGGGCACAAACTGGAAGCATAGGATTTGATGCTTCTCAGGATGAGAGAGTTAAACCTTTTTCGAGTTGCAGGGAGTTTAGCATGAAGCCCAAGGGGTAGTCAAGAAAGACGTAAATTCAGCGCATCTTGCTTTCACTGGCCCCTAGGTAGGAACATGTGAACTTATGATGCGTTCCTTCAGACTCAAAGAGTTTAAAAACAGATTTAAAAAAAAGAATACACTAAGAACCATACAAAAAAATTAAAACAAAAAACAAAAAAAAACTAGCAACAAAGAATGCACTGAATATCCTTATCCACAAGAGTGTTGATAATCACAACACCACAACTTCACATTTTCATTGTAACATCTCAGTACAAATACAACAGTGAAGTAAAAGACGTTTTTTTTTCACGCTAGCAGCCTATCCGATATATAGTGTTACTCATATTTTTATAGACCAAATGGAACTTAACTCTTTGAGTCCCAGAGGGTTTAGCATCACAGGCCCAAGAGGTAGTCAAAAGAGATGTAAAATCGGCGCATCATGTATTCATTGGGCTTCTAGGTAGTAACCTATGAACATATGATGCGTTCCTTGGGACTTAAAGAGTTAACGGGTGATGTGGTCACACCAGCCGCCTTCACATGACAACTATTTTAGGCAGGGTCAAACTGGGAATTTGGCCTCTGTAGCTTAGGCAATGCTGACAGGCTTCGTTATTTCGAGGCACCTCATTCGATTCCAGCTGTTGGTTTCGGGAATGGTATCGAGAGCCAAATATTCAGCAATGTGAAAATAATTCGCAGAAAAATTATCAGACAAAACCAGAAGTGCCAAAACATGCTGGGGCTGATTCTGCAACTTCCTATAAAGCAGAACTATTCGCCTGGCAGCTTGCGGATCATCGCCAGTTAAACTGTTTAGTGATCTTTCTAGACTGGCGCCCCGAATCTCTAGCCCGAGACGATCCTGATTTTCGAAATGTTGGCGTAAACGTAGTTGACTAGCCCCGCTGTAAAGAATATGCAACTGAAAATCTGGGTGCCAAAGTCATGTTTTAATAAAACATCCAACTATGAACTCAAGACCTTCGCGCTGGCAAGCGAGCTTTTAGCCGCTACGCCATAGCCGCAGGAGTTCAAATACAATAACATTAGCAAAAACACCACCACCATCTTCAAGAAAAGAAATACAATAAATAATGACAGCGCACCTCCAAACATTCACTTTCCTGTGCACATTGCTACACCTTTGACAAGCAGAACAGCCAACAAAGCCATGGGTTGAACAGGAGATACCCATGATTGTTACTAGCATGTAATACTACTACCATTTGCCCCCTTTACCAGTCTTCTTTTTCTTCTTGCTGGCTTGGACAGGCTTTTGCTGTCGCGGCCCCTGGACGACCGGGGTGGGAGTAGGGGTGGAGTGGGGAGAGGAAGTGCCTGCGGAGGCTGAAGGTCTCGGTGAGGCTGGGTCGCCGCCGCCACCAGCAGCACCACCTGTTGCTGACTTGCTTGCATCTCTGAAACCACAAAATATTGGAAACAATGTGTCAGAATTAATTGACGCACCCACCTCCACACACATAATTTGTATACATACCTACCTCCTCCACCATAAATGGTATACACTTCAGCCCAATGGCATAAATGATATGCACCCCTCCCACACATATAATTACTTCAGCCCACGGGCACAAATGATATGCATCCCCCTCACACACACATAATTACTTCATTCTATGGACATAAATGATATGCATCTCTCTCACACATATTTAAATAATTATCACATTCCATGGTCATAAATAATATACACCAAACAGTCTATGGAAGTAGATGATATATGCATCTTCCCCCCCCCCCCCCCCCCCACATAAATGATTTACACCAGTTATACACATAAATGATACACACCTCCACACATAAACGGTACACATTTTTCCCACACACAAAGCCATGCACATATATGATACACACCCTCCGCACATAAATGATACACACCTTCCCCACACATAAATGATATACACACCACAGCCATGCACATAAATGATAAAAACCATCCCCACACATAAATGATATACATTACAGCCCTTGGATCTGTACTTCCAACAATAAATGATACATATTTAGGCAGTGAAATAAGAAAATGATAATAAGTTACCAGATAATTAACCATAAATGATTGTATGCACAATACGCTGACAATCACCTAACACAATTTAAAATCAACTGAAACGATTCTTCTTCTTTGTTCACCAGCTGTAAGCTATGACAGAAAGTTCTGCTTGTTCATCCATTTAGACTTTTGCTTTGTGCCAGTGCTTCAGTTTTGCGTACACATCCATTTTACTGGTTCATTTGTGTGCAGTTGGTTGTTCCTTGCTGCTCGGGCAGATGATCGCCGACTTCAAAATCAGTTGGCTCCTAAAACATGCTTTTTTGTGGGAACAGTAGGTCTACTCTTGCTGTACCCACAATGGGGCCCCAGAACCCACACTGGGAAACTGAAATGTTTAAACACCATCACATATGGAACACATGACCCATACAAACACACAGTAAATATATACAAACATCATGAACCAGCAGACAAATAGCACATTCATAAAAATGATAAGCATGATTACAAACACATAACATACACATAAACACATAATACCCATACACAAACATAACAGATCACATAGGCACTGAAAAAAAAATACATACACACATGTAACTGACACTACAACATCGTTAGCCTTTAGTTGATGTTCCAGCTTCACTGTAGACAGGTCGCCCCATGTCTTTTTTTTCCCTGTACCAGTAGACATCACAGACAATGTCCTGCATGCCCCACTTAAAAACTAGTGAAAAGTTTAATTCTCCCTGCAAAAATTTTAAGGCTGCACACACAAAGTAAAAATGCAAAAGGCAGCTGTCAAATGTGACAACACCAACGGTCACACGTCAGACTGCATTTTATTGCTAAACAGCCAATCATGAAAGCCAGAATTGCCCCTGCTAGTCTGAACATAATCCATCACCCACCCTTTTAGTGCAATTAAGGTCACGTTTAGGGCACAACCGCAAAAGCAGCTGACATAAAATCTGCAGCTCACAGTGTCACACCAAGCACTTAATACAGTAGCTTGGCTACTCCCGATCCAGAAATTGGGGGGGGTGGGGGGGGGGGGTGTCTGCATCAGCAAAACCTAGCTTGAAACAACACTTTTCAGAGTGTGGGCAGTCAGCTGGTATAAGCCATTTTGGGCAGAAGTCTATTCCACATAACAAACACTTAAAAACTTACAGAGAATCAGCCAAGGCCTGTGTGGCTGCTGTCATGCCCTGTGTTCCTTTACCTACAGGAGTATCAGAACACTCAAGTTAGCTCCGTGACAGCAATGACAAGACAGGTGAACTTCAACACATTTTTCTGCACAATCATAATCTGTTTAAATCACTACTGATCACTGGCATCATGAGATCTAATAGACTTAAATGGCTTGGGCACACTGAGAAAATGTCAGATGACAGAGAGCTAAAAACTGTATTAACAAGGGAGCTAAATGGTCGTAGACCACGAGGCAGATCAAGAAGACCATGGAGAGATAACGTCCAGACAGAGCTGCAAACACACTTGGCGTAAACAACTGGAAAGAGATGAGTGGAGGCGGATGATATCAGCAGCAATGAACCTCAAGGGCTCGGAACGCTGAAGAACAAGAAAATGAAAAGAGCAGAAGGAGGGGTATACTAAACAGCAAACAATATTAGCAGATGAACCAACAAATCTTTTTTTTTCCAAAGGGTTAAGAACTGGACACAGATCTTCTTCGCGTTCACCACCTGTAAACTCTGGCAGAAAGTTATGGTTGTTTATCCACTTCTGGACTACAGTCCTGTTTCAGAACATGAGTGTTGCGTGCACATCCGTTTTACAGATCTGACCCATGCGTATGCAGACTGCTGGTTCCTTGTCTCTCAGGCAGATGCACTCTGTTTTGAAGAAAGCTCTCAATTAGTTGACTCTTACGATAGGCTTTTGGGCAGGCAGTGGGTCTGTTCTTGTTTTCCGTATAACAAGGCCTTGGAACCCACACAGGGAGGACAACAGTGGGTCTGTTCTTGTTTTCCGTATAACAAGGCCTTGGAACCCACACAGGGAGGACACAGATGAAAGTTAAACAACATAGATATTATGACCAGAACAGAAGAGAATGCTCAGTAACAAGATTATTACTATGACAAAATCTGAAAACAAAGCTAGAGTAACATGGATCTTATGACTAGAACTGAAGATAACACTACTAGAACTGAAGATAACACTAAATTAAAGTAATATGAGAGTTATCACCAGAGGATGAGGTTACATTACCATATACTATGTTACAAACATGCAACATGAATTAAAGCTAACAACATAGAAATTACTGTCAGTTACAAAAGAAGCTAAATTTACATGAATTTTACTGCCTGACATGAAAGCTGAAGCAGCAGCCAGTGCTTTACACTCTTATCAGCAGACCACTGAAATTAAGAGTGGTCCATGGGTCTTACTTAAGTTGAATGTTGAATTAAGAATGAACATCATAGCACTCAGGACAGCCCCATAAGCGCTCCGTCCCCATCTTCAGCAGCAAGCGAAGAGTTCCAGTTCTGACAGCACCAGTAACTGTCTGATTGTATATCCGTCTTGCCTTTTTCTTGAGTGTCGAGTGCCGGCCAGATCCCCTTGTAACTCCTCACAGTGCCATTCTTCCCAGACCATAATGATCTATCTGTGCCTCGGCACTGTTCACTCGCTCCCAAAGAGCCCTCACAACATCCAGCCTGTCATACATCAGTTCACCACCAAGCGGTGCAGATCCGGCCAGTCTATAAACCTGCTCATTTCCCAACACACAGGCATAACCTAAAGAAAATGTCCAAAGGATGCTAACTACCCGGGACCTCTGAAGTGATGCTCGCCACATGTAGAATAACAAGCAAAAGCACCATTTCAGAGGATACAACAATATTTTATACAATATATCTCAGTCAACTGAGGTTTTAAAAAAAAAAAAAAAGTTCTAAGCTTCTAAGCACTACATAGAGCAAATGTTAAAGTAATAGGATGAACCACAGAGTTAGCAGATCAGTGAGAAATTGTGTGGAAGCTGCAGAGAACATCAGGGGAAGACAGAAAGCATAATGAGAAAGAAACTAACCGATTTCCTTTCTCTTATCCTTCCTCTTGCCCCTGTAGTAAGAACGTTCTTTCCTCGGCAACCAACGTTCGGGATCAAGGTCACTGCCAGGCTCGCCGTTCTTTGGCAGTTTTCCTGGTGGAAGAGACAAGTGATTAAAGTTATTTTCTTTTCCCTAAATCCCTGTGTTGGCTCCAGGACCCCATTTGGGAAAGGAAGGGGGATTAGGATAAAGAACAAACTGCCCCCTTAACAAGCATTCCGTAAAATGTGACTTTGTTGAAATATGATGTGTTTGCCCTCAACACAGATGTGTTTTACTGTGTACGCCTCATCGCTCCTCAAACTTGCCACCAATTCACAGTACTTTTCGAGCTTGTACAGGTGATTTTCTTCCAATCGGGAAGGGTAAGGCTTCTATCAGGATGAGCTGGCTTTTGACCGCAGAGTGCAGAAGCATGTCTAGTCTCAGGCCAGTTTTCAAAGTGACTCTGGGTATTTCTCAAGACCAGGTGGGTTGACCGCCAGTAACCAGTCCCTCGCACAGTCAAGTATCAATGGAGCATTTAAGACTTGAATTTACCTTTAGAAATCTGCCCAGCTTTAAGGAAGCGCATGGAGGGAGGGGGCACTAAGACTGGCTTTATCCACAATATCCACTAACTCTTTCAGGACTTTATTGTGGCACCATGTACATCATCCCTAGTTAGGGCTTTTCTGCACGCCGACAATTTGTGCTCTAGGATCTGCTTAGCTCTGCATAGACGACATGTCGGGTCTGTGTCGCACATCATTTGGCCATGTTAGCGCCAGAGGGTAACAGGCCGTAAGCCAATCATATAACAAAGCTCAGCTGCAGCAGGGCCGTTTACCAGATCTCACCCCATGTGAGTGTTCATGGCAAGGCGCTCTGGAGGCCAAGCCCCTTGTCTAGCTGCAACTGCTTTGCAGCTTTTTGGACCCGAATCTCGTTTTCGGAGTCCCTGATTTGCTGTGCTACCAGGTCACTACACTCTTTGGCCTACCATGTGACTTCCTTGCCCCAGGCCCTATCAGTCAGTGTGTGTGTAACCAATGACTTCCCAAGAAATTAATCCTGTGAATTGTGATGAAAAAGCTTAAAAAAAATGGGGAGGCAGATCAACGTCACAAAACAATACAACACAAATCTTGACCCTTCGGCTGGGAACTTTCCACACAATTACGCAATCCAGCTGAAACGTCAATTTGTGTTGTGTTGTCCCAATTTCGTTGAGCTTTTTAGTCACAGTTCATATGATTAATTTCTTGAAATAATATAGGTATGACCGTATGATAAATAATTTCAGTTTATTGACAGAATCAGTTGTTCACCCTGTTGTCCTGAAAAGATTAAATCTAGTCACTTCTGGTCATGACTACTTCTCATTCTTCTTCTCTTTTTCCTCCTCTTCCTCCTCTTTTTCGTTGTCTTCTCCTCCTCTTCTTTTTCTTCTTAAAGTCCATGCCGTGTGGTGTTGGTAGTCATGTCTATCCACAACCTTCTGTCTCGTGTACTTTCAATCAACTCTGATAAAGAGGATCCTCCATACTGTGTGACACTGGTAGTCATGTCTATCCACAATGTTCTGTCTCGTGTACTTTCAATCAACTCTGACAAAGATGATCCTCCATGCTGTGTAACACTGGTAGTCATGTCTATCCACAACGTTCTGTCTCGTGTACTTTCAATCAACCCTGACACAGATGATCCTCCATGCCATGTCAAACTGTCTGGCATCTTTTCTCTCAGTCTCTCTCTGCCTCCCCTCCCTTTCCTACTTTCACGATGTACTCCAGTTTTCGCCTTCTCAACACATGACCAAAGAATGCAGATTGTCTTTTTCTGATGTGGGCAAGATGGTCACGACAAAGTCCCGTAACTGTCGATATAGCGCTACGTCTGGAGTGACCTGCAGTTAAAAAAAAAAATGTTAATATCCACTGGTTGTGTGTGCACCTGTGCAGTGTTAAATGGACCAGAATACAGTAGCTTAAAATAGCATCTGGGCTCCCGAAAAAAGAGCGGAATGAGGGGGGTATGTTGATGTCAAATTTTCCTGCAAGCATCAGTAATACAGGTCACAGCATAAATCACCAGATACATAGTTTTTTTTTTTTTTTTTAGGGCCCAGAGGAATGTGTCACATTTTCTTAAAAATGTGGATAATAGAATTTTTCAACATTTATTAATGACCTGTGTAAGACACAAAAGGTGAAGATATACTGGGCACACTCTAAAACAAAATAAGCAAAGAATTACAAAACAAGCACTGAAATGGGAAACAAATGGTTAGAGAAAAAGAGGATGTCCAAGGGAAACAATAGGAAGAACATTATTATGAGAGGCTAAAAATGCTGGGCTGAACTCCATGTCAGAAACTGAGAGAACTACTTGCAATAAAGAGGAATGGAGGAATTGAATGTGAGCCCCATGTGACATCTAATAGCACATAAAAGGTGATGCTGATGTGTAATATTGCTTTTTCGAAAGATATTTTGTGTGTGTGGGAGGAGGGAGGGCTAGCATTCCTGGAGTGAAAGGGTTGAATTCCGATGCAGGTTATATGCAGAAGACAACTCTGACAATGCTGAACAATTTCACTAATGTAGGTCCTTATGAAAATCTTATATGGGTCACACACTTACCTTTCTTCTTCTTCTTCCTCTGTTTCTTCTTCTGCATTAGACTGTCTCCGGATTTGATGTCTCCAGTCCTATCAGACACAGAACAGCAAGATAAGACAGGGAAATATCAGATGGAGCAGGAACAAGTAAAGAAAAAAAAGTCAAACTAAACAAGAAGTGCAACCAGTTACAAAACCATACAAAACATAATAAAGACTGCGGCTCAAAAGCCTCCATCAGCATATTACTGAAATACAACAGTGATACAGCAACCCCCCCAAAAAAAATCGATAAAATCACTTATCTTTAAGGTGAGGCCATTCCACATTATCACTAACCATACATAAACTGTAGAGGCTATGCTTTGCATTCAAGTGTTATCACAGAAATAACATACTAGACAGGAAGAGACCAGAGAGGTGTGGAGAGATCAGCGAGGCAAGAGGAACATAACTTAAAACTGTTTTTAGATATACTTGTGTTGGGCAATAAGACCTTTAGGAGAGAGAGAACCTAACAGTATACAAGACAAAAATAAACACAGGCAGAGTGAGATGAGGAAAAAGATACAAGAGCAAACAGAATTAATCAGAACCAGATGTAAGACAGAGAAACCACATAATCTAGCATAAGAGGGGCAAAAGTCACCAGATTGTTCAACAGAAACAAACAGGTAAAGAGGTAAGAAAGGTTTAAAAAAAGCTAACAGAAACAAACAGAGGTAGAGGTAAGATAGGTAAAAACACCAAAGCTAACAGAAACAAACAGAGGCAGAGGTAAGATAGGTAAAAACACCAAAGCTAACAGAAACAAACAGACACAGAGGTAAGATAGGCAAAACCACCAAAGCTAACAGAAACAAACAAGGTGGAGGTGAAATAGGTAAAAGCACCATAACTACCAGAAAAAACACGGTGGGTTCTAGGACCCCATGTGGGTTTTTAGCCCCTTCCTATCCCCCCCCCCCCCATCAAGCATGCTGCAGAAGTCAACTAATAAGGGATGTCTCCTCCAACAAAGTCAAAGTGCATCTGCCTGAGAGGCGAGGGGCTAACAGTCTGCATACAAATTAGCCAGAGCTGTAAAACAGATATGCACACAAACCTGAAATTCTGCAACAAGACCAAAGTCCAGAAGTGGAGGAACAACCATAACTTTCTACCAGAGTTTACAGCCAGGTATGTGAAGATGAAGAAGAAGAAGAAGAGGAAGAGGAGGAAGAAGAGGTGGAGAAGAAGAAGAAGAAGAAGAAGAAGAAGAATGTTCCGTCAGACAACAGGAAAACTTACTGTGCTGGGGAAATCTCCCCCTTCTGCGGCTGTTTCTTCATGTATTTTGGTCCTATGGAGCTGAAGGAGGCTTCCAATAGATCAACATCTAGGCCTTGTACAATCTTCGACACAGGTGGCAGATCTTTGCTGATTCTGCGAGCTTGTTAAGCCAATATAACATTTCAAAATCACCAATATAACATTATAATATTACCAAACAGGCACTGAAATTGGAACCAAAGGGACTGAGAAAACAGATGCACAAGAGAAACCCTAACACAGATGCACAAGTGAAACCCTAACACAGATGCACAAGAGAAACCCTAACACAGATGCACAAGAAAAACCCTAACACAGATGCACAAGAGAAACCCTAACACAGATGCACAAGAGAAACCCTTACACAGATGCACAAGAGAAACCCTAACACAGATGCACAAGAGAAACCCTTACACAGATGCACAAGAGAAACCCTAACACAGATGCACAAGAGAAACCCTAGCACAGATGCACAAGAGAAACCCCAACACAGATGCACAAGAGAAACCCTAGCACAGATGCACAAGAGAAACCCCAACACAGATGCACAAGAGAAACCCTAACACAGATGCACAAGAGAAACCCTAACACAGATGCACAAGAGAAACCCTAACACAGATGCACAAGAGAAACCCTAGCACAGATGCACAAGAGAAACCCTAGCACAGATGCACAAGAGAAACCCTAACACAGATGCACAAGAGAAACCCTAACACAGATGCACAAGAGAAACCATAACAAAGATGCACAAGAGAAACCCTAACACAGATGCACAAGAGAAACCATAACAAAGATGCACAAGAGAAAACCTAACACAGATGCACAAGAGAAACCCTAACACAGATGCACAAGAGAAACCCTAACACAGATGCACAAGAGAAACCCTAACACAGATGCACAAGAGAAACCCTTACACAGATGCACAAGAGAAACCCTAACACAGATGCACAAGAGAAACCATAACAAAGATGCACAAGAGAAAACCTAACACAGATGCACAAGAGAAACCCTAACACAGATGCACAAGAGAAACCAAAGATGCTAGACTGGATTCCACGTTCAATATAGAAGAGTCTAGTGACAAAGACAGTGAGTCTAAGAGTCTACTGATCTCCCTAAAATAAGGTCCCAGAACCAAGCCCGGCTCCAGCTGATGAGCCATGCTGCCGACGTCACCAA